TGCAGTTGTCTTACCGTGCAAAGCATCATCTGGTGATTGAGATCCTGATTGAGCCATGATGGGACAGAGGAGTTCAGGAGCAGATGCACTGACTTCAGCTCCTCTCGACTCTCTTTGCCCGTGTTTCATTGTCCTCTGTGTGTGTTTGAGAGGCTAATGCTCACTAATCACTGTTTTTTAGAGGACACTACCTTTTATTCCTCTAGGGGGCACGCGGTGGCTCATGAAACCATAACCTCAAATCACACGTTTTTTAAGTTATTGAATTATTGTGTATCACTAATATTTCCTTTATTGGAAATATAAAAGTATTAATATGATATAATACGAGATTGTGCTTTTGCAATCATTTTAAATCAGTTAGATATTTCAAGTAATCATAAATAATTGCAACAAATGCATGGTCTAATTTACACCTGAATAGTGACATTTGATATACTTAAGTGACATTTTATTTAAAATAAACGCCTAAGAGGTGAAACAGAATAATAAGTATTTATCACACACAGTTGCTGACCAATCAGAGACAACTTCCGGGCTTCCACGCCCCGCCCTGTGCTTCACCGGTTTCAGAGTGGCTTTGCTGCTCTACGCTTATTCTGTTTTTATGACATAAATGCAGTAATCTCTCTTTCTCCCCACCTGTTTCAACAGGAGGTAAATATTGGCATCATTCCCTTCTTTTCCATAAATAGGCCAGATATGTGCCTATTTTCAGTCTAAAAACTCAGCAAGTTAGGTCAAATGTTAACGTTAAGTTAATGACCCATGTCCAGATATGACACATAAATTATGTATAAAATTATTTTAAAGGGTCAGTGTCTTTGATAGAGACCAGTGGCACAACAGAGTGTCTCAAAATAAGTCACATGACCAACAAAACATCCAGCATGTGTTGTCTCCTATTTAAAGTCGCCTGAACTCATATAAACTTTTAATACATGGGCAGATAATCTCTCCTGATCACCACACACCACCTAATACGTCTAATAAAAGCCTAATTACCATGGTACTGCCAATATTTTTTGGATATGTAATATGGATAGGTGTTGCATTTCAATTGTGATCATTTGGATGCAGTTTAATTGCAATTAGTTGACTTTACACACACAAATCAAGGCTTTAACAGAGCACTAATATATGTCACGAGAACACTTTTCACACGGCCAGCAGCCAGAACCTTTAAAAAATGAAGTTGGAGTGAGAGGAAATAAGGAGGTATGAATTACAGATCATCTAACCACACCTCTTCTCAAAAATGACCAAGTTTATGAAGGTAAACGGGACGAAATCGTCCTCCATTTCTCTACAGCTGATATCACTAGATAGATTGTTCCTGAACGTCTTTCTTTGTATATTATTGTAGATGCTACCATAATAATGATCTAGCTTTATGTTTTGGTAATCTTTTCAGAACTGAATATTAGCATTTTTAGGACACATCTGTCCAAATATATGATAATTAGATCATAAAACTTAAAAATAGTTGACTAATTAATCATGTTCTTATTCCCATTGTCATTATTATCTCAGTTTTAACCCTATAAAACCTACTGTATCATATTTGAAGGCCTCTGAAAAACTAAGTCAATAACAATAATATTATAATATTTTGTTTTACTTTTTTAGCCCATCCTGAAGCTAGATCTTCACAACACCTGATAAAAATAAAAAAGAACATCAGGATACAGCGGCAATCA